CATGCTGGTGCCGGGTGCAAGGGCATCCCCGCCTCTGGCGTGCCCCAGGACGCATGGCCCCGCCCCCGGGCGCCCGGCACGTGAGTGGCCCCCACCTCCCGGGCGTCCGGCGCGTGAGTGGCCCCACCTCCCGGGCGCCCGGGAGCCTCTAAAGGTTGGGGACCACTGGTCTAAGGTGCCACAGGACTCCTCTTTGTTTTTGTGGATACAAACTAACACTGCTATCCCTCTGATACTTGTCTCAGAGGGGTAGCTGTATTAGTCTGTAACTTTAAAAACAACAAGCGGTCCTGTGGTGCCTTAGGGTATGTTTACACAGCAGGGCTAAAGTTGATTAAGCTACGCAACTTCAGCTATGTTAATTGCGCAGCTGAAGTTGAAAGAGCTTAACTCGACTTTTGGTGCTGTGTACACAGCAGGAAGTCGAAGGAAGAACACTCTTCCTTTGACTTCCTTTACTCCTTGTGAAATGAGGGTTACCATGAGTCAGAGTAAGAAGTCCTCCAGCTCGACATTATTTCAAAATAAAGGATTGTAGTGTGGCGCGCACAATGTTATTTCGTTATTCTGAAACAACGATGCAGTGTAGACGTACCCTTTGGCTACGTCTACACTACGAGTTTTCTTGGCAAAAAATATGCTAATGAGGGTTTGCGCAAAAACAAGCAGTGTGGGTGTTTTCTTTTTCACAAAAACCCCTTTTTCCACAAGATTGATATACCTCTTTTTTGCGGCATAAGGATCTTGCGGGAAAAGGGGATTTGTGCAAAAAGAAAACGTCCACACTGCTTGTTTTTGTGCAAAAAGAGATTTTTTTCTGCAAGATCTTGATACCTCTTTTTGAGGGGCATAAGGATCATGAGGGAAAAGGGGGTTTTGTGCAAAAAGAAAACGTCCGCACTGCTTGTTTTTGTGCAAAAACCCCAGCACGAAAATGGATTGACAGAAAATATGCAAATGAGTCCCTCGTTAGCATATTTTTTGCCAAGAAAACTCGTAGTATAAATGTAGCCTTAGAGACTAACACATATATAATAGCATGAGCGTTAGTGTGTAAAACCTACTTCATCAGGTGACTATACTTATCTCCTACAAGCCTGTGTACTCTTGTTTCTGAAAGTGCCTTTCATTGAAAGTTTCTCAAAACTAACTCACTTCCACAAATATTTCTGTTTCAACAAATTGTTATTTTCTGCTGAAAGACTATTCCGTCTGGAGATTCCCAACCGGCTCCAAACCAGACACATCAGGGCATGAGAAGGGCCAGACTGTCTTGATTAGGTGGGGACAAGGACAGTGAAGGAGGCCGGTAGATCAGTTGGCTGTTTTTAGAATGGGATCATTTGCATTTATAGCCTTACTGGCAGCATCAGAAGGAGGTTTTCCCACAGCAGACTGCACACAGTACAATGGAGTCATTTAAAAGGTGCAACACCCAAATACGTTTTACCAGGCTCCTCACATTTTCCCAGCTTCTCCACCCCCAAGCACTTAGCTACACAGACCCTGACCTAAACTGAGATTTCGACTTTTGAATTGTGAACCTTCAAACTTTGCTATCTTCTGGTTATCAGAAAGTCACCAGTGTTAGCAAGTAGCTGTCTCTCTCCCAATATTCATTACTTTATTATCCTTTTATGATGCAAAGGTTTTATCACAGTTCGCATTATACAACACAGGGGACTGATAGTGGATTAGTTCATTTACTTGAGTAATTTCTTAATGATTGGAGCTGGACAAATATTGAGGCAAGGGGCAAAGAGGGAAGGGATCTATTTAAGTTTCCCAGTGACTTGGAGGATAATATTCAGATTGCTACTCATTATCTGCAAAGGTTTGTGATCTCCAGTATAGATCTGAAAGTTTGTTAGCCATTATTCTTCTGAATTAAGGAGGCTCATTCAGTTTATCAGGGAACAGAAATACCATGTGGTTTAGGAGGCAAAGCTAGAGAGAAAAGATAATCTAATGATTAAGGCATATAAGTGGTCAATTCTCTGGCCTGCCACAGACTTCCCATGAGATCTTAGTCAAATCACTTAGCTTCTCAGTGTCTCCGTTCTCCATCTATGCAGGGCTGGGCAAAATAGGGCACACGGGCTGACTCTGGCCTGCCAAACCATCATATTCAGCCCTCGGATGCAGCAGGGAGCCTCAGGCAGACTCCCTGCTTGCCCAGGAAGTTTTTCCCAATGTCCAACCTAAACCTCCCTAAGCCCATCAGTTCTTGTCCTATCATCAGACATTAAGGCTGTGTCTAAACTACATGCCTCTGTCGTCAGAGGCATGTAGATTAGACACATAGCAAAGGCAAATGAAGCCGCGATTTAAATGATCGCGGCTTCATTTAAATTTACATGGCTGCCTTGCTGAGCCGACAAACAACTGATCAGTCTCCCCTGCCGACATCAAAGCCCTTTGTCCGCAGCCCCGTTATTCCGCGTGGGATGAGGTTTACCGGGGCTGCCGACAAAGGGCTTGGATGTCGGCAGGGGAGCGTCCAGACTAGCGCGCTGAGCAGACAAACAGCTGATCAGCTGTTTGTCGGCTCAGCAAGGCAGCCCTGTAAAATTAAATGAAGCCGCGATTTAAATGATCGCGGCTTCATTTGCCTTGGCCAAAACAACAAATCTACATGCCTCTGACGACAGAGGCATGTAGTTTAGACGTACCCTAAGGGGAGTAATTTTTCTCCCTTCTCTTTGTAACAACATTTTTAAGTACTTGAAGCTGCTATCATGTCTCCTTTCAGACTTTAAGGTCAGTGTCCCATTTCTAGCTGTTGGAGATTTTTGCTACTGGCAGTCATTGTAGTTCTGCTCCCCCCGCCCTTCTCTTCCCACACCATCACCTTTCACCTATTGCCTTGCCCTGCCCTGCCCCACACCCTCACCCGTGCTGCAGTAACCAGGCTCTTTTATCTACCAGTTTCATCATCCCCCAAAGCAGCAGAAATCCTTGCCTCAGCTGTTGTGTGTTCCTCATTTGATACTATTTTTCTCTGCATTTGCCTGGCTCTGAAGGAAGAGTTAGCTAGATTTTCAGCTTCCAGCACTGCACTGCTGGAGAAGAATTATGCATGGGTCCTTCATTTATGTAAATCTGCAAATACAAGAGCCCTTGACACTGCAAACAATGGACCTGCCTGTGCTTGCCCCTTCTGTGAGGCAGAAAAGAACCTCCCCCCCCACGAAAAAAAACAACCCTCATTTGCGGCTATGTGGGGAGTGTTGTATAGGGACAAAGAAAAGTCTCTCACCGTGGCCATGTCTGAGGGGTGTGAGTGTGTGTGGGTGTGATGTCTAAGGTGTGTGTGTGTGTGTGTGTGTGTGTGTGTGTGTGTGTGTGTGTGTGAAAGCGCAGGAGGCCATGTCCCTTCCCAGATGCAGATGCACAGCTGAGTACTTCAAGCAGCTGGAGGAAAGATACTCCAGTGGTAAATAGAGACCCAAATAAATAAAAAGTCAAACCAGGTTCCTAAAGGGAGCCTATTTCAAGGATGGTGAGCTGGAGATACAATTGTGCCTGAGTGACTTACTGGTGTTCATTTGTTCAGGTTTTGGGGGGCAGGTGGAGAAGGTTGAGAGCCACTTTGCTTTAGAGTCCATGTTTACTCCCACAGAACCCTCTTTTACTCACCCTTCCTGAAATGGGCTGGGCTTCCCGGTCACAACTTTACCAACCTTCTTACTCACTGTATATTGCACAACATGCTGTACTGTGAGACGGAGTAAATGCAGGCAAAAGACTTTGATCTCTGCTTTTGCCACTTGAAGAAAGTCCTGAACCTTTTGAATCGTGCACTTGGTCCAAGATGAAGGTTGAATTTGCTCCTCTCTCTATTCCCTTGGAGAGAAGGCTTCAGACAGCTTCAGTAATTCAGTGGGTCTTTGGCTTCCTGGGACTAGGTAAGATTAATTTTAATTTATCTTTGGAGAGAAGGCCTATCAAAGGACCTTACAGAGTCAGAAAGAGCCTGTGACTTAGTTTCCCCAGCTGTAAAGTGAGGCACGGAACTTAACATCTCACTCCAAGACCATGGCAGAGCTGGGACTAGACCCCCCAACTCTTCTAATATCTAGTCCTGTCAGCTAGCCCCTGCAGGATGCTACTTTTTAGGGTACGTCTACACAGCAGGGCTAAGTCGAATTAAACTATGCAACTTCAGCTATGTCAATTGCATAGCTGAAGTTGAAATAGCTTAACTCGGCTTTTGGCACTGTCTACACAGCAGGAAGTCAAAGGGAGAACACTCTTCCCTCGACTTCCCTTACTCCTTGTGAAATGAGGGTTACAGGCGTTGGGACTAAGAAGTCCTCCAGCTCGACATTATTTCGAAGTAAAGGTGTGTAGTGTTGATGCACTCTTTGTTATTTTGGAATAAGGTCAGTTATTCCAAAATAAAGCTGGTGTGTGTGTGTGTATATATATATATATATATATAGCCTTAGAGGGGTAATACATTTGTGCAGAGAGAAGCTTCAGACATTCATTCTCCTTCCCCCCCCATCTATCCCTTACCAGACTCAACTTTCAGTAGGCTAGGAAGGCAGCATACTGAAGATAAGTACCAGTTTAATAATAATGAACAGGGATGGAAAGTTAAGTCCTTTCTGTGGACACACATGATGCCGCTCTTAATTTGTACATGTGTATGCTGGTGAGGGGTATATTGGTGAGGGGTATATTCTGGGGAGGGGTATATTCAAGAAAAGTCTATCTTGCAGCCTGTACATTTGGCCTTTGCATAGGCTCTCTGCTTTGTTCCTGTTATCACTAGCCAAACAGCATAGCCCCAGTATTTACTTAGAGCTATCTTTGTGTGGCTTTGCCTTATTGTTTTTTAAACAAATCCCTACAAGCTAAGAACAAAGACTTGGTAAGGACACCTCTCGGAGCCACTCCCCATCTGCATGAGTTAATCTTTCCCTCCCCTCAGGCTTCTCTTTTCCGCTTGCCTAATTCCACACAGGTTCATGAAAGTGCTGCCCCAAGCAGCCCAGTGCCTGGGCTGGAGTGATACTATGAGCTGCTGCAAAAATGCACGATGGCCAATGGATGCGGCAGCTGTTCTGCCCGCACTGTGTTGCAGAGTTCTTTGTTTAGATAAACAAAACAGGCAGTTTCCAAGGAAACCCTGCTTGGGCACAGAACTCATTAGAAAGTTTGGATGTCGGGAAAACGTATTATCTCGAAGCTGATTGATTAAATTAAGTCAGAATGGAAGCGAGAGGGAGAGATTTGGAATTTCATTAAGGCCGTGATGTCCAATGATGAGAACGTGGGTCTGGGCATCAGAAGATGCGGGGTCAGATTCTCAGCTGGTGTAAGATAGTTCTGCTGATTTACACCCACTCAAGATCTGGCCTCTGGGTTAAGGAATAAGCTGCCCCACTAGCCAAGCCATTTAAGCTTGTGTACCTCAGTGGGTCTGGAGGAAGCGCCTATTGGCAGAGGCAATGTAACTGTTCCCTGGATACAGAGGCAGGCTCTTTGGGCAGAGGAACTGGGGTCTCACAGGGAATCCAGACCTGCTTTGGCATGGTCTGTGCTATGTGGCCCACAGAATTGGCGCCTTTATACTGTACCAGTCACACCAAGGGCCTCAATAGCCGTCCTAACTCAAGTGCTGGTTTAATGTCTATTGTAGCTTGGGGAACCAAGAAATGCAGGGATGGTGTACAGTTCTCTTTTTCCTCCAGATTCCGCACAGAGTACAACTCCCTTGGGCCCTGCAGTGTGCCTAGGTTCTAATCAGAGAAGTTCTTCTCCCCCATTTGTAAAATGATGGTCAACCTTCCTCCAACAGGGCTAAAAAGCTTGTATAGCACTTGGGGTGCATCTACACTGCAGGGCTTAACTCAAAATAAGCTACGCAAACTGAGCTACGTCAATTGCGTAGCTTATTTTGAAATAGCTTATTTCGAAATTGGGAGCGTCTACACAACACTTATTTCGAAATAGAGCCCGCTTCCTCCCACTTCTCTTACTCCTTGTACAATGAGGGTTACAGGAGTTGGAGTAAGAAGTCCTCCAGCTTGACAGTATTTTGACATTATTTCAAAATAATTGCCTGCTGTGTCAATACAGACTACGTTATTTCGAAATAACACTAGTTATTTTGAAATAATGCTGCTGTGTAGACATACCCTTGGAGGTCGCCCTGTAAGAGGTGGTAAGTTTGAGGATTTTAACAGAACATTGGTAGCTGGATTGTATTTTCGGGTACAAGTAGAGTTCTCTAATAAGTGGCAGGGACAAGTTTTGCTCTTATTTTATGCTGGTGTAAACCAAGAACGACCCTGCTGAAGTCAATAGAGTTAATAGAGGTTCAGACCTGACCAGTGAGTAGCATGAGCCTCCTTGACTTCCAGGGAGTTACTTCTGGACCATGCAGTTGTAAAGACAGAGCTGGTCAAAACTCAGAGGTTTAACTGTGCACGAAATGTTGAAGTTTGTTATTGTTCCACATTGAAATTTTCAGACCTGGGAAAGGAGAAGGAGGAGGGGAGAAAAATCAAATATTTAAAGGAAGCTGGCAGGAGAGTCAATCAATGTTGTCTTTAGATATTCATCACACACACACACACACACACCCCATATGTGAGTGCACACACACAAACCCCATAAAAAACAAGGTGCTCCAAAAGTGTCAAAAGGGAAACTTTCCACAAGACTGAAATGCCCACAGTTTCACACCCTTCCTCTCTCCACCTCCCCTGAAACAGAAAGTTGCTGACAACAGAGCTTCCTGTGGGCACATGTCAGTTTTGATAAGACGCTATTTTCCAATATTTTTGACTAGTTCTGTATAAGGACATTACCCTGTAAAGTGCTGTGAGCCCCAGCCCACCCCAACTCCAAAGATCAGGCTCTAAAATTTAAATGAGCAGCATTTGGTCCTTGGTTGCTAATCTCTGAATCTTTGGTCCTTGGTTGCTAATCTAGAAAGGTTCAAGGCTCAACCCTGAGATAAGAAATCTTGACGGTACAATCTGTGCCAGGCATTAGCACAGACCTTTAGCTGGAGAGCCAGACAGCAGCCACTCAGTTCTACCTCCCCTGGCAGCTGTTGCTATGGTTATGCAAATGAGCCCATGCAAGGAGAATGGGCCAGCTGGGAAGTAAGAGGAGCCATTCATTCTCCAGAGGGGCACTGGATTGCTCAGCGCATGAGCGGCACAGCCAGACCTCAGGGGCTGGGCCAGCTTGGAGGGTACAGTCTGTTGCAGTTTCTCTTTCAACAACAGGCAGACATGATCTGCATCTCCACAAGGCAGAGGCTGGATCCTGGTGAATGGGAAACAGAGAGTGTGTGTGTACTGAGCATTGAGGGGCCTGCTTGATTCAGAAGCAGAGAAAACTTGGGATGTGGTGTGTGAAACAACAGCTGCCAACTCTCCTATTGGGGCATGTCCCTTCTCTGCCTGGAGTTTCACAAGGCTCCAGAATCAGCCCAACCCAGTTCCAGTCTCATCTACCCTTCCTCACCTTTCAGGCCTGCCTCTTACTCCCAGTGCCGCAGCAGGGGCAGTTCCGTGCCTGGACTCAGTGGTATCTGCAGATCCCCCAATGTGTCCCTGTATTCACCTTTTGATGCAAAACTTGGGGCAAGCGGTAAATAATGCCGAGGACAGGCCACTGACGCAGAGCAACTTGGATTGCTAGGGAAACCGAGGCTAGCCAATGATGCTCATTTTTATATGGCCACATGGAAGCGTACACCAGGAAGGCAAGTTGTCCTTACACCATGTGGGACTCTGTCCTGGAAGCAGTGACTCTGAAAGATTTTGGGCTTAGATAATCAGCTGAGGACGGGCTCCCCGTGTGATGCTATAGCCAAAAGGGCGAATGCGCTCCAGGGATGCAGAAAAACAGGGGGATCTTGAGTAGGAATATAGGAGTTATTGGACCTCTATGTCTGTGACCACTGCTGGAACCCTGTGTCCAGTTCCGGTGCCCACAGTTCAAGAAGGAGGCTGATAAATTGGAGAGGGTGGAGAGAAGAGCCACAAGAATGCTTAAAGAATTAGAAAATAGGCCATCTGTGATGGATCTCCTTAAGCCCATCTATTTTGCTGAACAACAAGAAGGTTAGGAGGTGACTTGATTACAGCCTAGTAGCACCTGCAAGGAGAACAGATATTTCATAATGGGCTCTTCAGTCTGGCAGACAAAGATGTAACGTGGTCCAGTGGCTGGAAGCTGCAGCGAGACAAAAATCAGACTAGAAATAAGGTGTAAGTTTAAAGGTGGAAATAATTAACCACAGGAACAACTGACTGAGGGCTGTGGTGGGTTCCCCATCCCGGCCTTTTTTGTCAAGACAGAAAAATGTCCGAAGAGCTAAGGTGTGGGAATTATTTGAGGGAAGTTCTATGACCGGTGCCATACAGGAGGTCAGATCAGATGATCACCATAGTCCCTTTCAGCCACCAACTCTGTGTCCCCAGACTCTCCTTTGTTCTCAGCTAGCTGGCACAAAGGAGTCACATGGGAAAAGGGAACTGAGCTCCCGGGTAAGGTCTAGACTGGCATGATTTTCCGCAAATGCTTTTAACGCAAAAGTTTTTCTGTTAAAAGCATTTGCGGAAAAAAGCGTCTAGATTGGCACGGACGCTTTTCCACAAAAGCACTTTTTGAGGAAAAGCATCCGTGCCAATCTAGACGCGGTTTTGCACAAGAAAGCCCTGATCACCATTTTCGCCATTGGGGCTTTTTTGCGCAAAACAATACCGCGTTGTCTACACTGGCCCTCATGCGCAAAAGCATTTGTGCAAGAGGGCTTTTGCCCGAACGGGAGCAGCATAGCATTTCCGCAAGAACACTGACAATCTTATATGAGATCGTCAGTGTTCTTGCGGAAATTCAAGCGGCCAGTGTAGACAGCTGGCAAGTTTTTCCGCAAAAGCAGTTGCTTTTGCAGAGAAACTTGCCAGTCTAGACGCAGCCCTGGTGTGTATGCATGCAACAAGAGCAGAACCTGTGGCAGTGGCAGACACTTCCAGACAAGAAGAACTGGAGATTCAGGTCAAGGATCTGGTCAGCTCTGATGAAGTCACATGAGATCTTATGGGAAAGTAACCTAAATAAACTGCCTCTTTACCAGACTCGCTAGTGATGTGCTATGACGCAGAGAGCCAGCATAAAGCCTATTGCATCACGTAACTCCTCAGAACAGGATTTACGTACTCCCTTGGCCTTGCACTGGCCTCTTCACAGGGACAAGTTTCACCCACTAGAGATTTGTCCCATGCCAGAGCATCAGGGATTTGGGAAACCCTGCACCTAGGAGTAACCAGCTAGACTGAAAGTAAGTGATAGTCCCTCTGAGAAAGGGAGGAGAGTTTGAATACTCTCCAAATTGATAATTTTCCAAAGTTATGTGCTGCTGATGCCTAGATATTATGGCAACCGGCATGTCAGAAACGCTTATGATAATAAGTGTGTGATCTGCCATCTGGTACATTGGTGCATCACTCCCTACTGGATGGGATTAGAGCTACTGAATGTTTGTCTTAGGCTAGTAATAGAGAGGTAGCCGTGTTAGTCTGATCTTGCTGAAACTTGTTAGTTTGTCTTAGGCTGCTGAGAGACCTTCCTTTAGTTCATGCAATTGTGCCCGACAGTTAACTCCAGTGGGCAAGGATGTTGCTTTCAGAATCCAAAGAGCCTCCATTCACCGGTCACCGTGCTTTCTAGTTAAAGACTAAATGAAGAGATAGTAAAATTTCAGCAGCTATTAGCATCTGGACAGCTAGCGTGGCTGGGACATGATCCCTTGTGTGACACAGACATAAGTGTTTCTTGCTTTAGTCGGACATTGCCACCCCTATAAGCATGGCAGGGTTGGCAGTGCCAAAAGACTTAAAATCCTGCATCTCAGCACAAATTCCCTGGAGTTTTTCCAGGAAGAGAACGAAATATAGGACATCACGTGAGAAGATTCCTGAAACCTCAGACATTGTTTTAAACAATAAAAAGCCATTTTTGAGGTTTCATTTTTAAGGATTAGGGATTAGGTTCCAGACTGGGAGACAACCTCTGTGTGGGAAGATGGAGTTCAATACAGAATGTTTTGCAAGCATATGCAACTGTAAGCTAGGGTGAAGTCCAGTGGGGTACAGCTCCTATTCTGCACAAATTATCTAGTCACAAAAAAACACCTGAGCCTAAATAACAGGCATTAATCATTATAAGAGGTCATTGCAAGAATCAATCTGACTTTACTGATCAGCAACTGCATCCGGTCAGGAACTACGCTGCCTCCTTGTAATATGTACTTGGGCTTTGTGCAGTAGGATAAAAAGGTTAGATATAATGCAGCTTTGCGACAGGTTTATTTGCATGCCTTATAGGTGTATTAAGAGCATGGCCAATTTAATGTCAACATGGGGCTTTTGTACATCACCTTGTCCCTAGAGCCTAATTTAGCTTTGGCTGCTGTTTTCACAAAGTGTTATAAGCAGCGCATGCACTTGAGTCATGAAAGGTCATTTGTAATATTTAATTTCAACATTATTGTCAGGTTGAAAAGTCCTGGCTCATTCTACCTGGTTTATTACATGAGATTCCCATTTAATTCTGTAGAGAGTCTGGAGCTATGCAATTATCTGATTACACACACACACATACACACACACACACCACACACCCCCAAATTTGGTGGCCCATTTAGGAGCAATTCTTGAACAAATGGACGCACAAACAAACAGACAGATGCACAGATGCACAAACGCTCTCATATCAAACAAATGAACAGACACACAGACAGACACACAAACTCTCTCATATACGATGAGAGTTGGTGCATATTTCTCTTTGTGTATCTGTCCATTTGTTCGTGAGTCCATTTCTTCAAGAATTCCTCTTAAATGGTAAGAGTTAGGGCCACCAAATTTGATATGCAGCTGCCTCTTATCTTAACTTGAAGTAAGATCAGGGTTTGGTTGTGCCAGGGCAATGGGATGTGCCTGGAATTCAATTGTTTCTTAGAAAATGGAAAGGGAGGGGTCTGGTAGGAAGGAGTTATACTGCAGAATGACCACAGGAGGGCAGCAAGGGACCAGAAATGGAGACCAGGACAGCTATTCCCCCATTGGGGCAGCAGGAGGCAGGGGTGAGAAAGGGGACAGCTATTATATATTTCAGAGAGTTTGTCTTTTTGTGTGTCTGTTTGTGTGTTTGTCTGTCTGTCCCCCAGCCAGCAGACATGCACCTTTCCCCCAGCTGTGCCCACTGTAACTGCAGCAGCCAGGGACATATACTGCATTTCTGTATATCTAGTCATCTTGTTTGATGGAGGTCATTGTATTCAGTTTAGATGGAGACATTCCAGCATGCAGCATCTGCACTTGGAAATGTTATGGTTCTATTTCAGCTGTACATGGAGTTAGATAACATGGAGCTACAATGCTTGTACTAGGTCGACATTACAACTTATTTTATTGGTGGCATCCATGCTTAGATATGCAGAGCTGTTTGTCAGCATCTACAAAACCCTAGAGTCATTTTACCTGAAGATATGACTGCACTTTATGCATGAAAACGAAGACTACTGCAGTGCAACAAATAGTCTTGCAGCACCTTAAAGACTAACAAAACATGTTGATAGTATCATGACCTTTTCTGGATACAACCCACTTCTTCATGAATGCTCATGATACCATGTTTTGTTAGTCTTTAAGTTGCTGCAAGACCATCCATTGTTTTTTAAGTTTTTCCAGTCACCGACTAACTTGGCTACCCTTCTGAAGCTACTGCAGTGCAGTACAGCCCCCTCCTGGTTAAGAAAAACAAACCAGAATGAGCTAAAGTGATGTCCAGAGAGAACTGTGTGTATCTCCTCTAAAGAAACACATCTGACACGAGCTCATGGTGGTAACTGTTGCCAGCTGACTGCTTCATCCACATTCACCACAATTTCAGTGGGAGACACCTGATACACAAACCAAAGGAGCCTGCAGCAGTTTAAGCTTTTAATAAGCTCTTATGTTACCCGTCACACCCTTATTTGGTTCTTACCCGTGTGTCTGGGCCCAGTGACTATGACTAAGTATGCACAGGGCCAGAGTTTGGCTTTTCTGACAGAACGTTACAGATGGTGTTGACAGCACATTATTTTTATTGGCGGTTTACTTCCTGAGCCTTGCTCTGAAGCTTGACAGCTTGGTAGTTTGTCCTCCTGCAAGCCAGTTGGAAAAGGAAGTGTGTTTGGGCTGCACACCTAGTAGAGCAGTGCTTCTCAAACTGTTTGGCCTGTGACCCACCCCTCTCAATACAGACCTTACCACGGACAGTTAGCCAACCACTCATGATGACAAAATGGGTACAGGAGGGAGTGGGAGTGTGGGGTCAGGCTGTGAGGTAGGGTGCAGGAGTGGACTTTGGATGAACATAAGAACATAAGAACGGCCGTACTGGGTCAGACCAAAGGTCCATCTAGCCCAGTATCCTGTCTACCGACAGTGGCCAGCACCAGGTGCCCCAGAGAGGGTGGACCGAAGACAATGATCAAGCGATTTGTCTCCTGCCATCCCCCTCCAGCCTCTGACAAACAGAGGCCAAGGACACCATTTTATCCCCTGGCTAATAGCCTTTTATGGACCTAACCTCCATGAAATTATCTAGCTTCTCTTTAAAGTCTATTATAGTCCTAGCCTTCACAGCCTCCTCTGGCAAGGAGTTCCACAGGTTGACTACACGCTGTGTGAAGAAGAACTTCCTTTTATTAGTTTTAAACCTGCTACCCATTAATTTAATTTGGTGTCCTCTAGTTCTTCTATTTAGGGAACTAATAAATAACTTTTCTTTATCGGCCCTCTCCACACCACTCATGATTTTATATACCTCTATCATATCCCTCCTCAGTCTCCTCTTTTCTAAACTGAAAAGTCTGATGGGGTCTGGGCAGGACAGTGCGTGCGGGAGGGGAATGGGGGTGGAAGGTCTGGGCATGAAGGAGATGGGAGACGCATACTTGGTTCCATGCCTCCCACCAGTCCTAGGCAACCCTCTCCCCCCCCACTGCTCCCATTGGTTGCATTTCCAGCCAATGGGAGCAGCAGGGAAAGCCTCAAGGTGAGTGGTTTCCTGCGTTGCTGCTCTCTCAGTCATGGAGCCAATTTCTTCCTCCGCAAGCTGGATCTAGTCTGAGAGGCTCACTCTACTCCACCCCCGCAGCAGGTAGCCGACGCTGGTGCTCCAACCACACAAGGGGAAGGGCACTGGGATGGAGCACCAACGCAGGCTCCGCTCTGCAGGGGGATGAGCCCTAAGCCCAGGGCCCACTTGGAAGATGGTCACGGACCACACTTGCAGAGCCACTGGTATAGAAGAACGGTTGGTTGATTATCTTTTAAGTGTTTTCAGTCTTTTTTTTTTCCCACCAAGTCTTACAAAGATTTTACAAATTGTGGGAGGGGGAGTCACACACCCAAATTCTACTCTCACACCACCCTCCTTCCCGACTCCTACCCCAGACAGTCATGAAAGGGATCGAAGGTAGCAAGCCCCCCCCACTGTGGACTACAGCCAGTACTCCAGCCTCTGAGGCAGAACAGAAGCTCGGCTCTTTGTACCAGCTGCAAGGGGTAGGAAGAAAGGGTCAGGCCACTTGATCAGCACTTGTGTGGATTCCGATGCCTTCCCATGCTCCCTCCATGCTGGCAGAGTGCCCTGCAAAGGGGATGGCTAGAGGCCTCAGACCAGACTGAGCTGCCCTCAAGAAGCCAATGATGGGGGGAGGAGGGCAGAGGTGGAAGAGCCTTGAAAGCTGTGATATTTCTGAGAACGTTCTTCACCTCTTGACCCTGCCCTTTGACTGCCCTGTTTCTTTATCTCAGCACAGTGCTGCATAGCTCTCTTCATCGGCCTCTTCTTCACTCGCTTTTGGCTGGTCAGCGTCCTGTACGCAGCATGGTGGCTTCTGGACTGGGACACGCCACGCAAAGGTGGGCGACGGATTCATTGCGTCAGGAACAGCATCGTCTGGAGATACATGAGGGACTATTTCCCCATCACCGTAAGTGCAACCAAAGGTAGGATCCAATCCAGTGCCCACTGAAGTCTGTGGAAAGGCACTCCCATTTTGTTCCTTGGGCATTCGCTCAGGCTCTCACAGTCCTGGAGAGAGGCCAAGGGATCCTAGCACTGGGCCTAATAAGTCAGCACTAGATTTTACTGCTTTATCTTGCATAGCCTGGAAGGAAGGGTGGTTTAGAGGTAAGAGCACAAGGTAGGAGACCTACTGCCCGACCTTGCAAGAATTGTTTAGCCCAGCATTTTCAGACCCACCTACCACAATATATCTGGCTTTAGACAGCTCTCTTCAGTTTCACCACACCTTGGGAAGGAGGGAAATAGCCTCTTGAGATTCTTGTCCTGCATCCTCTAAGGTATCTGAGCACTTGAACCAGTGACACAAAGTGAAGTTACACAGCAAGTCAGGGACCAAACTTGGCCTTGAACTCAAGAGTTTCCGGGCTCCTACATTCTCTGCTTAGAGCAATTTACAGGGGAGTAGCTGACTGGAAATTAACTGGCTTTAAGTCAAGGCTGCAGGACCAAGTGGGAATTTTCAATGCGAACTGGCGTTTTGTTGGACTGTTAGGCCTGATCTATACTAGACCAGGAAGGTCAGCTTAAGAATCACAACTCCAGCTACGCAATTTGCGTAGCTAGAGTCGGCTTATCTTGAGTCTGGCATCCACACAGTGGGAGGCTGATGGGAACATTTCTTCCCTTACTCCTCACAGAAGGAGGACTACCGGACGCTGGTGGGGGCTGCCCTCAGCATTCAATTTACGGGTCTATACTAGACTCGCTAAATCAAACGTTAGAAGATTGACCTCCGGAGTGTTGATCTTGTGCTAAGTAGGGATGTGCTCTTACCATGCAGCACTCTAAGTGCCCATGGCAGGATGTGCATGTTCAGCACCCATGAGAGAACTTGCTTCAAAATGCCTGCAGTCTCCAGGCGCTAGCTGGGGCAGCACAAAGCAATGGATTACAGAGTCAGGGATCCCACAGTGGCGTGAACCTTCCAGAGGGGAACAAACTAGACACCATTAGGTCAGGCCGCAAGACTTGCCTCTTTAAGAGCTGCTTAGAGAGGGGAAAAGCTGACAATGACCCCAAACCCCCAATCAATCAACGCTTTCAAGAACCCAAGTCAGAGCCTACAGAACTCCACTATTACAGGCCCCTCCATACCAGCCTGTTTGCTTGGAAGGCCAAAAGGTACCACTGCTGGTTCAGAGCCTCAAGATGAACAGAGAAGGTTAACACAGTGAGGATTCCATGGGTTGAACATTTCAAACAGATGGGCTCTCAAGAGCATACTGGGCAAACATCCACTGGGAGGGAGTTTTCTGTCAATTCCTATGCCAAAAAGGACCTCTGTAATTATCTAGTCAGATCTTCTGGCCAAAAGACTTCCCTGAATTAATTCTTTTTGAATTAGACAATATTTTTTAAAACAACATCCAGTATTGAATTTGAAAAGTTGCCACGGATGGAGAATACACCTCAACTCTTGACAAGTTGTTCCAGTGCTTAACGACCATCACTATTCAAAAAAACACAGCTTATTTTTAGTCTGAATTTGTCTAGCATCCACTTCCAGCCGTTAGATCTCGTTACACTTTTGCCTGCTAGACTCAAGAGCCCTCTACCACCAAGTTTTTGTTCCTCCTTTAGGTACTTCCAGGCTGATTTGGTCTCTCTGTAACATACCCTCTGGTACACTAATCACTATAAAGGCATGTTTTGCAATCCTTTAATCATTCTCAGGGCTCTTCTCTAAACCTGCTCCCGTTTATCAATGTCCCTTTTTGGACACCAGAACTGGACACAGGGTTCCAGCCAATCTGGATCTGACCTCCCTTCTTGTGATTCCCATTTATACATCCAAGGATTGCATTGCTTTGTGCACCCATGTCACTCTGGGAGCTCACGTTCGGCTAGTTATATACCTAGCCACTGTGAATCAGGCAGCATAAAAGGCAGCACAGAACTGGGAGTGGATGAAGAGGGCATGGGGAGAAATAGTCAGCAGACCGGCAGAGAAGCCTTCATGGCAGAGATATAGAGAAGGTACAAAAGGGGCATAGAAGGGTGGCAGCCCCATCAAGCTTCATGGGGAAGAGACCCCGAGTTGTTAAGGACTTGGAGATAAGGCAACAGTCATGGAAATGTGTTCCACATGTAACCCACATACCTACTGGGTGTGGTGCTTAGACCATTTACAGCGAGAAAGATTGAGTGTACTCTACAGCCTTTACTGAGAGCCAGCTGGGTTATAGCTCAACAATTTGAGGCTTCCAGACTAAGATCCAAAACTCCCAGGTTCAATTCCACCTGTTGGTATTACCAGGACTTGCCGAACCGTGGTGAGCCCTGCTTGCCAGCCATGCTGTCTGGTGATATGTGCATGTGCAGGTTGCTAGAACCTGGCTCTTCCAGGTTACAATCTACTTGCCACAGGTGAGTAGATTGTATAATTTGTCAAGCCCTGGGTATTACACATACATGAACTCTGATACATGGACTTTGGTTACTAGCATTCATTTAGTGCACACCTCTGACAGCAATGCAGAGCAGCTCTGCTTTGGATCTTGGACGAATATTTCTCTGCAGACCATGTACTAAGTACATTTCTGAAGAGCCCAGGACATGCACGCCACCGTGGCGGCTGCTGCTTCCTGTGAGTAAGGTGAAAGGGAAGCGCAGCACAGCAAGCAATAAGGTTATTCCAGAAGGTAGGAAATCATTTGGCATCCCAGCATTTTCCAGAGGGTGAAGATTCCCAATTCCCCGCTCCCTGACTCTACCAACCTTTATTTTAGTTTTTGCTTCACTAGGTGCCTCTCTTTTGCTTGGCTAGGTGCTGGCACTTCCCATTCAAGTACATTAGTTAATTAAGCCAGCTAGCTTTGCAGAGTGTTATTTGCCTGTCAGGGCTGAGTAATATTCTGTAGGCAAATGAAACCTCATTTGTTTTTTTCATTACAGTACCATCATAATGACAGCAAGGGGGGGAGGGGAAGAAGGAGGGTAGATTTTGTGTGGTGGCTAGTTCAAAGGGACGGTTTTCCAGGGCTGAATAGAGCTTTCAGCACACAATGCAATGGGAAATCTGCAGTTCTTGCCTAGCTGTGACACAGGGGTAATGAAACAGCAAGTAGTCCTGTAGCACCTTAGAGACTAACTAGATAGATAGATAGATAGATAGATAGATAGATAGATTATCATGAGCTTTCATGGGCAAAATCTCCTTCCTCAGATGAGTAGAGAAAAAAAAGGCAGGGAGGGATCCTCCAAATTTTTAACAGAAAAAGAAGGGAGAGTGGAATGAGGGGGGGGGGGGGAACCCTGCCAGCAGCATACTAACTGAGTCACATCAAAAGCTAATGGCCCATCCAGTTCATGTCTTCAGCAAGCCAGAGGTAGATCCAGAAATGAGTACATCAGGTCTCAGTTTCCAGTCCTGAACTGGACACTTTCCTAGGAGCTGGTTTCATTCCGCCTTAACAAGTCTTTGACAGAGCAACCTCCGTTCCTGGTTACGTCCTGTCAACACCTCCAAAGTGATCAGTTACTTATTATTTACACTGCAGTAGTATCTAGGGGTATGTCTACACTAGCCCCCTAGTTCAAACTAGGGAGGCTAATGTGGGCATTTGAACTTGCAAATGAAGCCCGCGATTTAAATATCCTGGGCTTTATTTGCATGTTCCCGTCTGGCCATCAATTTTAAATGTCACTAGTCCGGACTAACTGCTCATGGCTACAAGCGGCAGTTAAACGGTAATTCGAACTAAGTCCTTAGTTCGAATTACCGTTTAACTGCCGCTTGTAGCCATGAGCAGTTAGTCCGGACTAGTGACATTTAAAATTGATGGCCAGACGGGAACATGCAAATAAAGCCCAGGATATTTAAATCGCGGGCTTCATTTGCAAGTTCAAATGCCCACATTAGCCTCCCTAGTTTGAACTAGGGGGCTAGTGTAGACATACCCCTAGATACTACGGGGCCCCATTGGCTACACCTGGTATAAACAAGAATAATAAAAAAAAAGTCTGTGCTTTGGAAAGCAGCCAGTCTCCTTGAGCCCCATTTTGGCAGAGCCGCTTCTGGCTCAAAACACCAGACCAGAGAGTTTTTAAGCAAAGGGCGACTGGCTGTCCCCAGCACCCTGCTGGACAGTAGCCACTGATGTTTTCTGAAGTCGCTCTCCGGGTGCCCATTGTAACTTTACATTTCCCCTGTGTAAGCAAACTCGCTTAGTCCTGACCCCCTGTCCAGTGCTCGGGCCTGTACTTCCTCGTCCAGTGGCTCCTTTAAGACCAGGGCCCCGGAAGCGGGCAGACAAACAAACAGTTTCCATGGTCAGATGGTGGCCCAGGCCCTGGTTCAGGGCAGGGCAGGCGAATGAACAGTTTTCATAGCACAAGCGGGAAGGGGGAGGCTGCCACCCAGTATGGGAGAGGTGGCAGGGGGGACACGGACCCTCCCTACTGCACCGTGTCCTGGCCCAGGGGCCTAGCAGTGGCCGCCTTGGCGGCCATTGGGGTCAGCAGGGAATCTATTCTGAAACACGCTGACATACATTAAAGGGTGATCAGGCCCACCTGACCATCCCCCGCTTCCCCTGGGCCACTTCCAGATTCCCCCTCAGTATGTACCTGGCTGGCTCGCAGGGTCTCCGTAGTCCAAATTTAGGTGTAGAGAAAAAAAAGTCTCCTCCTCAACGCCTGAGCCGGGTGGCCCAGCTCCTCAGGGTCTTCCCGGTGTGAGGGGTCAGGGTAGGCCTCTGCACCCTCCGACAGCTGGCCCCCGACTGAGTGTCTGGGCCTAGTTTTTATACTTCCCGCCCCTCCCCCAGGCCTCTGTGGCTTTAAAGGGGCAGGTTCCGGCTCAGCCCACTGGTGCTCAGAGGGGGGTTCTTCTTCCTCAGGGTCAGTGAGCGGCCAACCCTGGGGTGCAGCCATCAGACCTAGCGATGCCTTTGGCTCCAAGTG